ATTAGAATGATTTCTGAAGGATCATGTGAGACTGAAGACTAGAGTAATGACTGCTAAAAATTCAGCTTTTAAATAAATTATATAATATATTAAAATAGAAAACAGCTGTTGTTGTTACTGTATTTTAGATCAATTAAAGACTGATCTAATGTTATCATAAGTTTTTATTATGTAATCATATATAGTTCACTGCTTAAATAATACAAGCATAATAATGTATAATATTACATTAATAAAAATGATACGAAAATAGAATAAAACAGTCCCCAACAATACAGGTCTTTCAAGAGCAGCATTCATTTATAAGTCTATCACTTCATCCCTCACCTTAACGCCACTGGCATTGTTCTGGTTGCCACGAACGATGGTGGTGTTGCCATAGAGACGAGAGGGAGGTTTGAAGGAGATGGAGATGCTGTAAGTGTGGGAAATATGCTGAACTACAGGAGAGCTACAGTCCACATGCTGCACCAAACCACTGCATTCAAACATCAGCATCAACGGCAACAGCTCCTACAGAGAGGATGGGGAAGAATGATGCTTTTAAGGAAAAAACAACAAGGGTTGAAAACAACATAAAACAAATGGTGATGACATTTCAACCACTAGGGTGCAGCACATAAAGCTCCTAATCTATGATTGACTTTTCAAACTGGTCTGCAAGGGGGCGCTAATGGGGCCTTGAGAAAATTAGAGAGGAAAAACTGTATTTAGGGCTGACAGGGCTAAAGTTATTAATTAAATAGCCTAATACATTGATATAGGTTTGTAAAAAATATTTCTGTATTTTATAAGTGTAACTTTTGCCTTAATATTGTTCGTATGGGGGTGGTAAGGCAAAATTCTCAGTAAAATTCTCTGTAAAAATATAATCCAAATTTAATTGAAAGGGTTTCTCTTCAGGCTTTACAGTGAATACTCTAATGGTGGGTAGAAAAAGATAAGATGTCAGCTTAATTGAATATATTCACAAAAATGATTTATTTACACATAATATTTTAAATTGATTAGGATGTAGCACAGTCACAAAAAATGTTGTTGTTATAATATAATCCTTGCTACATTATAAATGTTCCCTTGCATGTGAAACGTGGCAACAAACAGTTTGAAATCTGCACTTAGTGACAAGTGGCTATGAAAAAAAAGAAAGAGAGCCTGTAAAGCACAGGTAAACTTTAAACAAATTCTCACCCGTATTTTAACTCTCGCTGCTTCTACACCAGTCAGCTGCCCCGCTATTGACACCTGAGAGAAAAACAGAGAGACAAAGAAGTGATTGTACTTCATGATCTTTCTTCATTACATGTGCAGATGTTTATTCCTTTCTCTCATCCTGTAAGCATTTTATGTTAAGCTTAAATAAGACACAGTGTCCCATCCAGAAACCTGATTTATTACCCATCAAAACATTACACGAGAGTATGTGTGTGGCAGTGTGCCAGTCAAAAAAAATAACCCTAATTAAGGTCCTGCATGTTTTTTTTCTTTCCATCATTTCATCCCGACAACCACACGTTTAATCACGGCCTGTGAGAATTAATTCCGGTTTGGAACCAGGTGATTCGGCCCAGTTCAGAGAGTCCATCTGGTTTGGCTCTGAAGTCGGTGTTTGTCCATGCATGCACTTGTATACGCTATTAACATTCCAAACTGTCTGCACGCCTGGTCAGACCACTCAACAGTCTATTTAAACTTGAGAGCTGTCCAACAGCCAATCAGATCCATCATCCTCCAAACCGTTCTTATCCTCCAGCCAATACAAACTGCTTCATGTCCTTCAGCCAATAAAATGATTCAGCTAGAGTTCAGCCACTGCTGGGTAGTAAATGCTAGCTTTTTTTTGCAAAAATCTGCTAAACATATTCCCACTGGTTTGGCTCTGAAGTCGGTGTTTGTCCATGCATGCACTTGTATACGCTATTAACATTCCAAACTGTCTGCATGCCTGGTCAGACCACTCAACAGTCTATTTAAACTTGAGAGCCGTCCAACAGCCAATCAGATCCATCATCCTCCAAACCGTTCTTATCCTCCAGCCAATACAAACTGCTTCATGTCCTTCAGCCAATAAAATGATTCAGCTAGAGTTCAGCCACTGCTGGGTAGTAAATGCTGGCTTTTTTTTTGCAAAAATTTGCTAAACATATTCCCATAGCAGGGATAATAAAAATAAAAATTCTGTCATGTATTCACCCTCATGTCTTTTAAAATCTGTATAAATGTATTTCTTCCACAGAACATAAAAGCCATGAATTTTGCACAATAAAACATTAAAACACCAAAAAGTGCAATGAAATGTTATGACTTGTGCACTATATTTCTTAAGACCAAAATGTAAGTAATTATTTGCTGGAAATATTCCCTCAAGTGCATCACAATTAGTCACAATACATGCAAGAACCAATGACATCATCAGTTGTGTCATCTTACAGCTTTGAAAAAACAAAAGCATCAGCACATGAAAGAATTTTTAAAGTGAACTTTTACTAAAATAAAAACTGATCTGCTGGTCTTGGTTGGGTCTGTTTTATTTTCGTGTGTGTTTGTGTGTACCTGGTTGCTCTTCTCCCCCTGGCTGTGTCTGTTGGAGTCAGGGAAGTGTATGTGACAACCAGTCTCTTCCATCACTCGTTTGATGTTATTCCCTCCTTTCCCAATAACATGCGAGTGCTCGGTGTGCGATACATCCATCTTCATGGTCACACGATTACTCTGTAGGTGTCAAAGGTCATCATTTAGAAAAACAACAGAGCATTCATGGAAACCTATTAGAGCTGAATTAAAATCCTTTAATCCTGTTCCTAACTCTTAGTAGATTGCTTTCAAATGCACTATCATTCAAAAGTTTGGGGTCAGAAAGATTTTTGTAAAGTTAATGAATACTTCAGCGGAAATGCATTTAATTGATCAAAAGTGACATTTGTAATGTTACAAAAGATTTTGATTTCAAATGAATGTTGTTCAAATCCTGAAAACAAAATGTACCACGGTTTACACAAAAATATTTCGCTTTTAAGACGTTTCGAGTTTTGTTCTGGAAAATAAAATTCTGGTTTAGATACTGGTTTAGAAAAGTAGGTTTTTGTAGTAATTTGTAGTTTGTAGTAACCCATACAGACCAGATTTTTCCATGACAATCATAAGCTTAGCAGTTACCTTTGTGTCAAGAACGGACATTATTTTCTCTTTTGCCTCTCGCACATCTTCCCTTTTTCCGCTGACCTTAATATGTGGATCTGTGAGGAGGAGGTTGAAGAGAGCAGATGAGTGCAAGACAAGAGAAGAAAGTCATACACTAATAAAGATGCTTACATTCCGTTTGTTTCTCAACACAATGAATTAAACGACAACTGCGGCCTCAACACCAGTGGTTTCAAGAGTTAACACTTTTCTCTGTCAGTTTACCACATAGACAACTCTTACATACATCATGAGAAACAGATTTACTTCTACTCTCTAAAAATAGCTCTTGTAGTGTAACTTCTGTTTTTCTCTACACACATTCTCTGACTGTCTCACTTCCCCTAAAACACTCCCACGAACTTCGGGATTAGGCCTAGAGGAGCAGGGGGGGAATCAAACAGGAAGGATCACTGTCTTAGACACACACACATACAAAGTACATTGTTATTAGGAGAGGTATTAAGAGTAACACCAGTAGGGGTCTCCTTGTCCAGCCCACTACACTATCCTCATCCTGCCATGTGGTAGTCATCAACTCCATCATGTGTGTGTGTGGGGTTGCATCTGTGGCCAGCATGTTTATGAATGGAGAATGTCTATGCATGTCTGTGAGGAATAGTTCATGTGTGCATATATGAGATTATGATATCAATGCCAATGTCTGTCTTTAATTTGAAGTGCTTAACATTAGATGAGACGGAGTAGGTATATATATATATATATATATATATATATATATATACACATATTATCTTTCCCTTTTTGTGCTGATTAAATATATATAATAATAAAAAAATCCTTCTGACCCCAAATATTTGATGTTATATATGGTAAGTATTTTGAACATGGCTTCAATAAAGTAATTTATTTCTGTTCTCAACCAAACTGTCTGGTCTTTCACTCCAGTTGAGTGTGACTTTTTTTGACCGATGGACAGCCTAATTTAAAAGTGCTTTACTGACTTAGGACAGAGTGGAACAGACATCTCTCAGATTGATAACATCTGTTACACAGGCCGAAAAAAGAAAGAAGAACAAAATAGAGAGAAAATTAGAAAACAATTTGAGACCTGGGAAAGTCAAATATAGTTTAGCATGTGAGTCACAAACACTGACCATTATTTACAAGATGAACAGAGGACTGTACAGAAGATACTGAAAACATGAAGGAAAAAAAAGAAAAAAAGAAAAGAGATCTTATGCACATCATCAAAAATAATTTATGAGAGGGAAAAGATTCTGAATTAACTGTGGTAAATGACTGTTGAGAAACATGGATTAATGTGGTACTTTAAGGTCAGAAAGAAAGACAGAATGATATGTACAAATGAATTCTTTGAATTTACAACAAATTATCTTTTTTAACCGATTTTAGCAGGTACTCTGAAAAAAATGTTTCATTGATCCAATTTTAAAAAATGTAATTGAGGCAAGCACTCAGTATTTTTGTTTGTTTGTTCCGCTGGACAATATGGCAGCTGGACTTAGACCTAGCGGCATTAATTTTGCTGGGTATCTTATCATGGTGGCCTTCATGAGGTGACCTGCACCATGTGAACTAAATCTTCATTTACAAGGCTACTGATAGGACTGTCTTCATCTTACTGGGGTTACCTGATTTTAAGCAGGATTATTATTATGATTGTTAATTTCTTTAGGGGTTTTAAATAGACAAATTACTTTGTCCAAAAATACACTCTTTGAGTCTTTCAGTCATGTGGCAATTAGCTACATACACAAAAATATGTGCAAACATTCACAGTCAGGCAGATAAGCACAAAAACAGATTCACAAAATACTAGCCTCAAAAGTACATTCATATGAACATTCATCATCAATTGTATGGAAAAGCACAAATTAAGAGCCTGTCATTTTTTGAATGAGACTTACGGGAATTAAAGCAATCTGGCCTCTGTCTTTTAAACTCATAAAAACATTAAAGGTAGCAAAGAACACTAACTTCTTTTGAGAGTCCTAATCCATCCAGTTTCATGTCACTCTTCACCCACACTAGATTCATATTAATCATTTAGGGAAAAGCCTTAAAGGGATAGTTCACCCAAAAATGAAAATGCTGTCATTAATTACTCACCCTCATGTCGTTCCAAACCCGTAAGACCTCCGTTCATCTTCGGAACACAAATTAAGATATTTTTAGATATTTTTATTATAGACAGCAAGGGTACTACCACGATCAACATCCAGAAACGTAGCAAGGAGATCAGTAAAATAATCCATGTGACATCAGGGGTTCAACCGTAATATTACAAAGCTATGAGAATACTTTTTGTTCGCAAAAGAAAAAAAAGTAACAACTTTATTCAACAATTCGTCTCCTCCGTGTCACCGTAGTGCCATTTTGGAGAGTATCCACTGAACGCAAACAGCGTATGTTGTTCTGTGTCAGCCACACCACACGGATACGTTTTCTATGTTGTTTGTGCTTTGATTTGAACGAAAACAATGTATGAATTTCTTTCTTCTGCGGAACATAAAACAAAAATAATTAAAAAAAAAAATGTTTGTCCATATTACGAAAGCAAGTGGGGTCCAAATCAATATTACACTCCTTTGACTTTCACTGTGTGGGCAAAAAAAAAAAAAAAAAACAGAAACCTTTGTCAAAAAATCTGTGTTCTACAGAGGAAAGAATGTCATACAGGTTTAGGAACAACATGAAGGTGAGTAAATGATGACATAATTTTAATCTTTAGGTGAACTATCTCTTTAAAGCTGTGTGACAAAGACAAACTGAGAAAGACAGAAAGACACCATCTGAATATAACCAAATTCTCCATCAGGGTCAGTTGCTTATTAGCAGATCGTAGGTTTGACGTGACATGGTAACCCATACTCAAGAATTTGTGCACTGCATCCATCCAAGTGCAGTGATTAATGAACACACACACACACCGTGAAAACACACCCGGAGCAGTGGGCAGCCATTTTTTTTTTTTTTTTTGAGGGTCTCACCTCAGTCAAGGGTATTAAAGGTAGAAGAGAGTGCTGTACATTCACTCTCCCTGCCGGTACCGAGACTTGAACCCACAACCTTTGGGTTACAAGTCCGACTCTCTAACTAACCATTAGGCCATGACTGCCCATGGTTTGTGGCATGTGACTCGCGCAGTGACTTCTGCCATAACTACTGACTGTCTGTCTGTCTTGTGTGTGTTGTGTATACCTTTCTTGGACTTTGCTCCAATCTTCAGTTTGGAAGGCCAGGCAATCTGAGTGTTGGTTTCATCCATGACCTTAAACACAAAAACCACTGACATAAGTGGATGCAAATGCACATTAATCCAAATATGAATTCAAAAACACATAAGCCTGCTACACTAATATTAGCAAATCCATATTTAGTCATTCTCAAACACAAACACACAAGAACTCACACATTTCAGTTATGCTAAAATATTCACAGTAACAGAAATGCTCAGGCTTTTTCAACAAAGATCTTACAATCATCTCTCTGGCTAAAACATGCCCCGCTTTCTCGTTCTCACACACAGCTGCTTTGAAAACCCGTGAAACATGTAACAGCCAGTTGGCAGAGAGTCTTTGACAGGCCTAGTATGCTAACCAGTAGCATATGTGAAGGAAAAGAGAGAGAAAACAAGAATGGTAATGTGTTTTGTGTGCATATAAAATACACAAAAGATAAACTTATGGTAATTTGCAGCTACATGAAAACACAGGTTCAATGTTTATTAAAACTCTGCCGTGATTTTGCCTGGAGCTCAGTCCTCATGTGGAGCACTTCACTATTTTTAGAGGTTTGTCTTTCAAGTAAATTCATTTTTTTTTAAGAGCAAACCGCAACTTTGGCACCACAGTCCTTTGTCTCTATAGAAAACACATTTCTGTACCCGTTTTGTGGCGCACTTTCTATCTTCCTGCCTAGAAAAACCTCTTGGCTTTCATGGTAAGCAAGGCTTTACTGTACAGCAGTTCTCATGAGAAGTTTTGGCAACAAACCCAATTTCTTTCAGGAAAAAAAATATCTGAGCATGAAACTGCAGCAATTAAACAAAAAAAACTCCAGTGTAGATTTCCACATGACCTTTAGGAGAATTTCAGCCTCTGTGCTAATACTAACTAGAATTAAATTTATTTTAATTAAACGTGGCATAGTTTTGCACCTGCTCCTCTCTGACAGTTTGACTGAATATAATAAGCAGTCATTTAGTGTCATCTCTTCAAAGAAGCTTGGAAATGATGGGCTGCAGTGAGTGAACATGACAGTTACAGTCATGCAGTGTAAATACTCCAGTATGTATGTTTACACTCCAGGCTGCACGTGTTTGTGCATAAACTGGAAACATTCAGTCCCACATGCTCTTCTACAATTTACGGCCCATACTTTTCCAGGTTTCATTAGTCTTGGACCTGTGGTTCAACAGCAGGCTTCAGTTTTTATTTGTTTTGACACCCTAAAGGACAAAAGAACATGAGAATGTTTTTTTTAACTAAAGGAACAAGTTTATTAATCTCCCCAGATCTTCTTAAGACTGTAAATTATACGCACAGCTGTGACGCATCCTGTGATTTAGATTTGTGAAATTACGGCTTGAAAACAGCAAAGTTCAGCAGAGCTACAATGAAACAGCAATCTATACACCCTTTCTACAGTGTGCCTAAATCAGGCTGTTTCTCCTTCCATGTTATAACATGCAAAAACATCACAAACAACTTTCCCAAAATGCACATCAGCAATCTGAGGCAAATGAAGCATGACAATTCGGACTATTAAACCATCAAAATATATCTGTCTTTCGCTTTATGAAATAACAGGGTTTTTCAAAGAGTCCAAAATTCATGCATCATTCTCGATCATTCTGCATATCTTATGTTTGTTGATCTTTGTTTCATGTGTTTTTATGTCTTGAAAACATAACCATTTTATTTATTTTTTTGCATGTACTGTACCATGTTTTTACAAAATCTACTGATTTGAATGTCACTAATGTAACAATATGTAATTTGCTACCAGAGCAAAACTGCAAGAAATTAAAAAAAAAAAAAAAAGAGTAAGTATTATGTATTTTATACAATTATTATTATTTTAGATTTATGTTTTTCATGCAGCTTTGCCTTGGTGAATGTATATACAATAACTTTCAAAAGTTTGCTGTAGGTTTTTTTTTATGTTTTTGAAAGAAGTCGCTTGTGCTCACCAAGGCTGAATTAATTTTATCAAAAATACAGTAATATTGTGAAATATCAATTTAAAATAACTGTTTTCTATTCTAATACATTTTAAAATGTAATTTATTCCTGTGATGGCAAAGCTATTGTTAAATCCACTGTACTGCAATCTACTGCACAAAACATAAGTCACTTGCAGACACCAGAAACAAGACACTTAAAACAAAGTAACTTTATGATTACAGCAGTAGAAAGAGTCATACTGTAATATTTTCTACATTGTACTCCTCAGTTAAGTTTAAATATGGTGTTTCCATTGAGCAGTGCAGAAACATCAGAACACTGATGACCTTGAACCAAACGAAGGCACAATCAAACATGCCTGAAGGAAACCCGAACATTTCAGATGGCATGAAAAGGTGAACGGTGCTTAAAGTTTGTACAGGCAGAGCGCCAGTTCCCAATTGCATTCTGTGTGTATGCGCTGTGCTGCCACACTGCTGTGCGTTCTATAGGTCTTTATTCCCGACCTGCTCTCACTTTCTCTCTTGACTGCTTTCTTTGGCTCCAATCTGCAGATGAGGGAGATTTCTGACAGACCACACAGCAGTTTTGGGGTCTGCGGTTTATTTTTGTGACTGACCAGCACATACCTCTCAAATGGGTCAGACGATTTCAGAAAAATTGGGTTAACTATACATTTGAAAATGTTCCTTTCCTTTTCCCCTCACACCCAATATCATCCTGTCACAGGAACATATACACTCACCGTTAACAGGAGAGAAAGTTTAAAATGGCAGTGACTTCAAAGTACTGGAGTCACACAAACTCTGGTCTTCATTAAGTCATTAAAAATGGGCACCGTGATGGAGAACAGAGTGTTTCTATTTGACAAATGATGTGTATGAGAGAGTGGATGTGCAAGAGCATGTGTATAGAGATCTGCTTCCTGTTTCCTTTGTTGATTCAGCTGAGGAGCACTCAGAAGAACAAGCAAAGAAAAGAGGTGTGAGGAGGAGAAAAGGAGGGAAACGGAACGAGGGAAGGAGAAAGGGCTGGGAAGCCTTCACTTTGAATGGAGGCTGAGCACCACAGGTGTGTTGTACTCTGGGGAAAAAAATAAATAAATAATCCATTACAAACGCTGTAGTATATTTACTGATCTATGAGATGGGCTCTTTTTGGCCTGATAGGAATTAAAGCAATACTCCACCCAAAAATCAAAATTGTGTCATTATTTACTCACCCTCACATTATTCCAAACCTGTAAGCATGGCTTTTCTTAGGGAACCAAACAACACTGGAGCACATTGACTTCCATTTTATAGAAAAAAAGTATGTCCCACAGAAGAAAGTCATAAAGCTAGGACAGCATGAGGGTGAGTAAATACAGACATATTGGTATTATATACATTACCGTTCAACATTTTAGGGTAAGTACAAATTAAAAAAAAATTAATTAATACTTTTATTTACCAAGGACACATTAAATTGATCAAACATGACAGAAGACTTTTATAATATTACAATATTTCTGTTTCAAATAAATTGTGTTCTTTCTATTAAAAAAATTCTGAAAAAAAGTGTTCCACAAAAATATTAAGCAGCACAACTATTTTCAACATTTATAATAATAGTAAATGTTTTTGAGCACCAAATCCGCACATTAGAACGATTTCTGAAAGATCATGTGACACTGAAGATTGGAGTAGTGGCTAATGAAAATTCAGCTTTGCCCTCACCGGAATAAATGACATTTTAAAATATATTACAATTAAACAATTTTATATTATTTCACAATATTACAGTATTTTTCAATATTTTTGATTTAATTAATGCAGCTTTGGTGAACATACGATGCTTTAAAAAATGTCACTGACCCTATATATATATATATATATACTGTATGTACTGTATGTATGTGTGTGTGTGTGAGTATATATATATATATATATATTAAAGGCACAATATGTATGATTTTTTTATTAAGATATCAAAAAAACACTAGAACAGTGTTATATATTTTTTATATAACATTTTATCCCAAATGTTACGAAGAGTGTTTAAATCCAGAGAAATAAGCTATTTTAATTAGTGACACGGACCGTGTCCATAGTGTCATTGTGTCGCCTGCCAATGACGTCATAACCCCTCGATTTCCGGTTTTGTTTTGTAGAAAACATGGAAACACCAAAGACGCTTTAATATGCTATGCATTTTATTAGACAGGTGACGACCGCACGGAGTAGCATTATAACAGAACGTTCAAATGTATGTAGTATGATAAAACAGCGCTGCTTACTTTCGCTGCTTTCCGGAAGGAGCGGAAGCGGTCGACTGTGGCATAATAAAAGCTTTGCCGCATTCGAGCCGTGTGTCGAGCTCGTTCAGCGGCCTCGTTTCGCTTTGACGGCTTTCAGCCTCACCCTGCTTCATTCTACTACTTTAATAAATCTTTAATACATTAGCTCATCCATGAACATGATTTCTGCCCGAGTCCCGTCGGATTGCATCAGCTGTGGGGATGAAGACGACAACTCCCATGATTCCACACTCGTCATCAAATTACGTCTTTGTCTCTTTGTTTATTTTGAATACGCGCCCTCCAGCGGCGAAAATTACATATTGTGCCTTTAAATAATATTATATATTCATTTATTAAAGGGATAGATCACCCAAAAATGAAAATGACCTCATGATTTACTCACCATCAAGCCATCCTAGGTGTCTTATGACTTTCTTCTTTCAGATGAATACATTTGGAGTTACATTAAAAAATGTCCTGGCTCTTCCAAGCTTTATAATGGCAGTGAATGGTGGTCGAGATTTTGAAGCCCAAAAGCAAAGCAATGCGTTTGTGTAATAAAAATATCCATATTTATCCAGCGGATGATGTAGGACAGGGTTCCTCAATTAGTTTTCGCTGAGGGCCGAATTCTGCCAACAATACCAAGCCAAGGGCCACTGACCTATATATATATATAATTGTTATTATTATTACAATTATTATATTATTGTTGCTTTTGTTAAAATAATCACAAGATGGTCACAAGATGAACATTCAGATTTTTTCCCCAGTAGTCTGTTTTAATCAAACAATTATGAACATTTTTGCATTTAGAAACAAAAGAACTTTGCCTGTTGAATATTAAAAACAAGTGAACAAACAAAAAATCTGGATCTCCATGTCTGCCATGCAAATCAACTGCTCCTGCTCATTCCCAGACTGGATCTCTTCTCTCCACTTTACCCAATTGCAGATTCAATTATTAGATTTGTCGGTATTAATATTTTTATGCTTAGATTTTATTGGGGGGGGGTCAGACTGTAACACGGTGTGTCCCAAACAGACACGACGCGATAAAAAGTATATTTTCCATGTAGTTTTTGTCCTAACCACCCGCGACAGCGACACGTGACAATAAGCGACACAGGATTCTATTTTAGGAACGGTTTTTATTTTCTGCGACGTCGCAGCAAGAACAACATACAAAATATGACAGTGATAATCTCAGGTAATGATTGTGTGCTTTATTCAATGTTAAAAGTGTCTAATGTGAGTTTGAATATTATTTTGCATTATCTTTATAGCCATAGTGAAAGCAACAACAGATATTTGACCTCAGATCTTGAAAATAAATTAAAGCAAACTTGTAGGCTACGTTAAAACACGTGTATTCCACAACAAAGATATCAGTCACTCACTCACTCACTCAAAACTGATAAATTTTAATCATCTATTTTCCGTGTCCACTTTTCTTTTCTACACACTCCATGTTTTTGCTGTCACATCTACACTGGACGCGACAAAGCATTGCAGATCATTTGAACATTGTGTCAGTACATTATAAATAGAAGGAGTCAGCAGTTTACTGTCGGGGATTTGACGTATCGCGCCGCATCCAAGACAGCATCACTGATTATAATGAGTTCTATTGTATTTTATTGCGTCGCGCCACTCGCGTCTGGTGTAGACACAAAATAAGTTAATGTAGCTTTCTTATGCTGCGTTTGAACTTTCATGCCACATTATTTGAAATTAGCGCAGGCCAAACTTTTTTCTCTCGCGGGCCACCTATTGAGGAACCCTGATGTAGGACGTAGGCATAGACATAGGTGAATAAAGTTTTAAATATACATATTTTGCTTACACAAACACATTGCTTTGCTTCAGAAGGCCTTTATTAACCCCACAGAGCTGTGTGGAGTACTTTTTATGATGGATGAATGCACTTTTTTGGGCTTCAAAATCTTGACCCTCACTCACTGCCATTATAAAACTTGGAAGAGCCAGGACATTTTTTACTTTAACTCCGATTGTATTCGGAGATTAAGTGTGTCTATGCGTCTCTCAGCAGCGTTTACTAATAGCGAATCTTTAAGTTAAACTCCTTCATGAACCTCGCTACTGAGAAATGTCATGTAGCTTTTCAGCTGCGAAACTATTTTACTGATAAATTCGCGGTGCAGAACTGACAAGAAATTTCTATTCGCATCTCCGCGTGTCTGCGTGTGTGTCTGTGAGAGAGACTGGGAGAAAGAAAGCGTGATTTCCGTAGCCTACATAAAAAAGGTGGAAGACATGGAAATAGTTTGTCATTTTTTACCCTATTGTTTGTTATATTTATTTGCTCAATGTCTTGAGCAATGCGTAAATCCGGCCCTGTTAGACGGCAATCGGAAGTTATTACAAACACTCGATGGTAGTTTAAAGTGAGTTTTGAGTAAAAGCGGAATATAAATCTTATTTATTGTCTTATGTAGCATGATGCTACAGTTTGCATGAATGGTCGTGTACTTTTAGTATGAACGGACATCTGTATATGATCGGAACTCCACGCAGCTCCCGCGCTACTCTATACTGGTGGTATTACAGCACCACGAGAGCTAAAGAGAGCAGACTGCTCCGTGCGCTTTCGAATCGCTCTCGCGGATGATCGATCTGCGCCGCACCTCTAGTCGAACACACCGGCAAGTGCTGCAGGCTTATTGGCTCACTGACGCTGATGAGATTAACCCCTTAGGTATCGAAATTTGGTACCGAACGACAAGACGTTTTTCGATACTCTATGGTATCGAGGCAATTCGGTCGGTGCCTAAAAAGTATCGAACTCGATACCCAGCCTTAGTTGGCAAGAAATGAAAATTCATCATTAATTTTATATATATATAAAACATTTTTTTTCTTTTATTTATGGGCTTTTTATGCCTTTAATGGGAGAGGTCATTGGAGAGCTGACAGGAAAGTGTTGGGTGGAGAGAGGGGAACGGGATCGGCAAAAGACCTCGAGGCGGGAATTGAACTCGGGTCACCGTGACGACGCACTAACCACAAGGCTATCGGCGCCGACACGATTCGAGTCAAGTCACAGCTGATCTTCATGAGTCAAGTCAAGTCGCAGTTGATCGTCATGAGTCCAGTCAAGTCTCAGTTGAGCTGCCAGAGCTTCGTTACGTCACAGCTGATCTTCTAGAGTCTTGCCACGTCTCAGCTGTTCGTCCAGAGTCTCGTCACGTCTCAACTGTTCATCCAGAGTCACGTCACGCCTCAGTTCTTCATCCAGAATCACGTTGCATCACAGCTGATCATCCAGAGTCATGTCACGTCCTGTCTGTCACACC